TTTTTTAGGCTCAGGGAATATCTTGCTCCCTCTGGTGTCTGACTACTGTACTACAGGCAGGTACAAAGGAGGCATGCTCCACTCCTTTCCCTCCTTTGCCTTAGAGAAGCCTTGAGTTGTGCAGTCTGCTGCAAGCCAGTGACCCCTTTTTCTTTCTTCTTAACTGCTCCTGGACATTCACACTATGCTGGTTTCGTCAGCTCTCCTTGTAAGGTGAGACAGAAACCAGCTCCTTGGACAGCTCACCAAAAGGCTGGGATGTTGAAGATATGCTCCACTCCTCTCATTTCCTCTTGAGGCTGAATCCTCAGGTTCTGTATTTTTTTCTCAAATCTCTCAGAGTTGTGCTGAGTGCAGGAAGCTGTCCACTCCTTTTCCTTTGTTCTTAACTGCCCTCAGGCATCGGAACCCTGCTGGTTTTGTTAGTATTCCTTGTGAGTTGAGACAGAAATGGGCCCCTCAGGGAGCACACCGAAAAGCCAGATGTTGGATGCACACTCTACTCTCTTCCTCTAAGGGAGACGTCCTAGGTCAAGGTGATCTCTCTTGGTGCTGAGCTGTAGCAGCTTTGGGGAGGGGTTGACCTGGGTAAAATGTTCTTACCTGTTTCAGTGCAACTCTTTTTGGTTTTGTTCTTGTCTGGAGTATGATAATCTCTTAACTGGTTTCTGGACATTTCATAAAGATAGTTTGGTCTATATGTCTTTGTTAAATCAGTGTTTCTGAGAAGCTGGGAGAGCTGGACCTTCTTCTAGTTCTGTTTTGACCTTAATTATTCATTTGGCCTCAAGCTACTGCTTTCTGTTCTTTTCATTTTAACCATAGCCATGCATTTCTACTATTAAATACAGTAATTTCTCAAATGTGCCAGCTTATTTCATACCTCTGCTTTCTACCCAGAACATCTTTTCTTATTCTTTGGCTCAGTCAAGGTTCATTAAAAACCAGAAAAGCATATAAAATGCCATTTGTTAAAAGAGTGATTAAAAGTGTGGACTCTAGAGCTAGCTTGCTTGGGTTTGAGTTTCGGCATTGCCATTTATTAGCTACTTGACTTTTGGCAGGTTACTTATCTGTGCCTCAGTTTATTCACTTATTAAAATGGAGATGAACTATGTCCAATCTCATTGGGTTGTTATTAGGATTAAATGAGTTAATCTACATTAAGTTCTTAAAACAATGCCCAGCACACTATAATTTTTTAATTAAAAAAAAAAATTAGAGCATAGGTCACAGAGGCCTTGGGGAATCAAACTAGGGCAGTTCTGAGTGTCTCAGTGGCAAGGTGCACAGGCCATCTGTTTGCCATCAAATGGCTTGACTCCAGCTGCTTTCTATCCTTTTAGTTTTTTTCTCCAGATTTAGATTTCTAAAAGAGAACATCTGATTGAGTTTGAGTCAAATGCCCATCCCTTAAGGGCAGTTAATCAGTGATGTGGTGTTAGGCCAACTGAAAAGCAGCTTCCCACTGTACTGTCCACTGAATGGACAGACTCAGCTCATACTACGTTTCCTGTGTCTTCCCTACTTGACCCCATCAGCGTTCTTGACTACAGCCTTGTCAAGGCTTCACCAGAGACTGGGTAAGACTTGAGAAGTTGTGTCATTTGTTGTGTCAGTAAGTCTGTCTCTGCTCCTCAGTTGGTAAGCTCTTCGGAGTCAGACCCAGCTTCCTGTTTTCCTGAACTTAGTACAGGTCCTGACAAAGAGTAGACATTCAATAAAGGTTGAAAAATAATAATAAAATAAATAAAGGTTGAAAAATATCTCCCAAATTCAACCTTCCTTTACTCCCCTGGCTGAGGCTGGCTCCCATTGATGTCCTGCACTTTCTAGACAAATAATGTCAAGCTAAGTGGCAATTGAAACTCCAGTAATAGCCCCAGTGGGATTGAGAGAATAAGCACTGGATGGGTAAGAGTTTTTCAGGTGAGTCTAGGCAGCCTGAGTGATGACCTGTTCCAACAAAATTGTTATGTTGGAAATAGAAGGGGGATAACAAAGGTAACAAAGGTTGAGACAGTTAATAAAATGGCAGTAGTAGAGTTAGTACAGGAGGAGAATCCTGAATGTTGTCTTTTTGTCTGTCTGTTCTGCTTTCATTTAGCCTAGTGGTTCTCAAACAGGGATGCCTCCCTGGGACATTTGGCAACGTATGGAGACGGTTTTTAGTTGCCACAACAGGAGGGGCTGTGTGCTACTGGCCTCTAGTGGATAGAGGCCGGGGGTGCTGCTAACATCCTCTATCTAACATCCTCGTGTACTGTGCATGAGATAACCCCTCACAATAAGGAATTATCCAGCCCCAGATGTCAGTAGTGCTGAGATCGAGAAACCCTTATCTAATTCTGAGCTTCACACCTCAACATTTTTCCAAAGGAGAAATAGGGGCAATATGGCAGATATAGTATGATTAGTCACCATTTCCTGAATACCCATGAATGTACAGTTGCCTAAATTTGGTGTTTTGAGGACTACAAAAAGGTTTGTATTCCCTGTTCTTCCTAGACCATTTATGAAAACAACTCTTGTATATCCAGAGGAAGGCAAGACATGGTAGGCACCAAGTAAGTGCTTTATGGAGGAAGGAGAAAGGAAGATGACAACCTAGGCTGGAGTGGCAAAGGTTTTGGAAGCTGAATAATTCAAAGTATTTGGGAAGAGAGTTGACTAGAAGAGATGGATTAGATAGGAGAGTGGTAGGAAATCTGGTTTAGCATATTGTATATCCACATGTTATACATTAATCATTATTTCATTTATGATGGCCCATGGGGGAGAGGATATGTTAAATCCAGAGTATCTTGCTGGGTTTGAAACCCAAGGAAGAAACATTTAACATTTGGACTCTGTCGTTTTGGTCCTTTAGTTTCTTCTCTCCTTGACCTATATTTACCCCTTGTGGATAATCCCACATTTGCATCTGTGGTCATTAGTGTGCTCCAGAACTCCAGAGTAGAGTCTCTCTGGGTTCATATGGTCACTGTACATCCCAAAAGTGTCTCAAGTTCAGTAATTCTGAAAGTCAGCTCATTTTTCATGACTCATCCTTTTTCAATGACAAGTTCCTCCTCCTGTCTTCCTCATCTAAATTGATTTGTTCGTTTAGTCACCATTTACCAAGCACCTGGACACTTAGGAGAAAGATGAGTAAGACAGTCCTTTTTGCAAAGGATTCTGTGTAATGGGTAAGGTAGATACATAAATTGGTCATTAAACATAGCATGAAAATTCAAATGATATAGTGTATTAGTCCATTTTCACACAGCTGATAAAGACATACCTGAGACTGGGCAATTTACAAAAGAAAGAGGTTTAATGGACTCACAGTTCCACGTGGCTGGGGAGGCCCCACAATCATGGCAGAAGGTGAAAGGCACTTCTTGCAGGGCAGCAGACAAGAGAAGAGTGAGAGCCAAGCAAAGGGGTTTCTCTCAAAAAACCATCAGATCTCGTGAGACCTATTCACTACCACCAGAAGAGTATGGGGGAATCCACCCCCATGATTCAGTTATCTCCCTCTAGGTCCCACCCACAACACAAAGGAATTATGGGAGCTATAATTCAGGATAATAAAATGAGATTCAAGATGAGATTTGGGTGGGGACACAGCCAAACCATATCATCGAGGATATTTGGAAATAGAGGAGGGATATGTCAGGATGCTAGCCTGGTGAAGAGGAGGGTCAGGGGATATCAGGCACTGTTGCCTAGAGGAGATGATGTCTGAACTGATCTTAAAAGACAGAGAGATGGGGGTTTACCATGGAAAGATAAGCAGGAAAGAACATTCCAAGTGAAAGGCCCTCTATATGCAAGGCCCGGAAGAAACAGCAGAGCATGTGTAGGGAAAACACACAGTTTGGGCTGCTGAAGCATGAGTTACAGGGTGAGGAGTGGGTCCAAAGAAGACCAGAGAGGGGATCACTACCCAAGCTCCCAACTTCCTTGTCCACAGCATGCCCTGCCCCCGCGTCCTACTGCATGTTTCAGAAGGAATCGGTTACTTGTTTCAGAAGTGCTGCCTTGCTGTTGTCTGTATGATCCATTACATTCCTCCCATTTCATCATAATTCCTATAGTTTTCCTGGCCTTATCACAGCCCCTCATCCTCCCCAACCCTCTCCTCCTACCCATGGACCTCTCGGTTGATTTCAGGCTCATTGTTAATAAGGGCTTGCATCCAGGCATATTTGCCTCAGCTGTTAAGAATCACTCCTCTGTACCTTCATCTCACTAGTTACTCACTATCAGGCAAGTAGCATGCACTTTCAGGGCTCTGTTCAACTATTCCATGTTTCCTACTCATGTGAATTCTCCTCCCGAAAACTTCTGTTTATTTTCTTTCCCTGTGAGATCACAGTACTTTGCATATATTTATTTGCTTATATAACCACATGTATCATATGCCCTCAGAGTCAGATTGACGTGTGTTCAAAGGGTATTTATCCTTTATTAGTGGTGTCACTCTGGGCAAGTGACTGCACCTGATTTTGATCTTTTTTGTCTTCATTTATACTTAACCACATTGTTACACTATGTAACGTTAGCTCTGAGTGGTAGAATTAGGCTTGCAGTTCTTTTAACCGGTAGTGTTGACAGCTGTATAATTTTAATTTGTTATAAAACTGTCGTGGTGGTCCAGGCGTTATAGAAAATTTAGCATAATCATTAAAAGGTCTGGAGCCTGACAACTTGTGTTCTAATTTTATCTTTGCTATTTCCTTGTCTGTGTGTTCTTAGACAAGTTACTCAACTTCTCTAAGCTGTTTACTCATTTTTTTAAAAATGAAGAGAATAATATTAATACCTCATAAGAGATTTTTAGTGTGAGTTAAATGAGTTAAAGTCTATAAAATGTTTGTCCCGTGCAAGACATGTAGGAATAGCCAACATTTATTGAATGCATACACTTATTATGAGATAACCAACTGTCCAGAACAATGTGTGGACATTTATTTGCAAGCCTGATTTTCTTATCTTTTTTTTTTGTTCCACAGACAGTTCCTAGAAGTTATGGCTAGTGCTCTGACTGGTTATCTTCACTGTATTTCTTCTAAAAACTTACTGGATGCAGTGTATTCATTTTGCTTAATGAATTACTTTCCTCTGGCTCCTATTAATCATCTTCTCCAAAAAAATGTCCTCAGTGAGCTGCTGACATCAGGTAGGATGTCACTGCACAATTGTGACCAAAATAAGGCACTAACTAGCTACCATATGAGTCTGAATGGGGTCTTAGTTGCAGCAGCATTAGTTGAAATTTGCAGAATAGATGTTACTGTGGTAAAGGCTGGTAATGGTAAAGTCAAAGAATAGTCTTTCAAAGCAGCAAACCTATGGACCCTTTAATGACAAGCCTGCATGTTGAAAAAAAAAGGAATGCATCATTATTATTCCTTTTATGTACACTGTATCCATCTATACGAAGGCTAAATGTTCAGGTTGTTATTCATGCTTTGATCAGAGCTGTTTGTAATTCCTAATCCTTACTTACCACATTTGAAGCCAACCTAAGTCAACTTTTGCAGCTATAAACACTTGGTCACTCACTCCTGGTCTGTGATGAGGGCACATCTGTTAGATCAAGAAACCAAATAGCCACCAAATTGATTAGTTCATTTACTCTTGGAACCAAATTAACTGTTGCCTTTTAGTCTTTAATATTAAACAATGCAAAGCAATACCCAGGTAGATGTACCAAAATTGATGATATATCTGAGAATAGAGTAGTTCAAAATTTCTTTTAAAAAACAATGTTATAAAATCCCAGAGTTGAGTTGTGAGGAATCAGCCAATATCACATGCTAATTTTTCAGGCAAAGTATAATACTGGAGAAACAGCCTTGAAGCCAGAAAACATGGATTCTAGTTCCAACTTTGCCTTAATCATGAGGCTTTTTAACATTCCTAGATATTTCCTTATCTGGAAAATGAGAAGTTTAGACTAACTGACCTGTGAAGCCTCAAAACATTATCAAGTAAAGGGCTTTCATTTAGACACTGTGGAAAGCAGGGAGACACAGAGAAAGTCCTTGTGATAAGAAAGAGATTATTAGAAATACAGGTGTATTTATATATATATTTATTATTTTATATAGGTTACTAAATATATATTAATATAGTTTTTTAATGTTGCATTTGTTTCTTCTTAATGATATATTTTCTTCCTATTTTAGATGACATGGGAAAGAATGTCCACAAGCTGCATATTTTGGATACTTGTCTAAAACTTGATGATATTGTTTATCACAAGGACATAGACTTATCACTCCCACAGCTTCCACAGGAGCCACCGTCACTTCCAAATGCAAAGGTGACAGAGGTGCTGAGCAGCCTTCTAGGAGGTGAAGGACACTTCTCAAAAAATGTGTACTTGCCACCCAATTATCATATTGGTATGGGACATTATATGATTTCTCTTCATTTTATTGTATTTATTTCCCTTTTTTCTGACAAAAAATTAGGTATTTGTGGCAGCAGTTCAGTGTAGTGCAGCATTGCCTCTGAAATTGGCCTGATTCTTGCCTCATAATCAATAAATTAAATTCTACCCATTTTTATGTGTCTAAAATCCCTAGACTAGTATCTGACACACAGTTAGCACTCAATATATTTCAGCTACTGCTATTATCATTATTCGTAGTACTATTAAACATTTTAAAACAGAAAATCACATGGGGCTGGGCGTGGTGGCACACACCTGTAATCCCAGCATGTGTGAGGAGGCTAAGGCAGGTGGATCACTGGAGCTCAGGAGTTCAAGACAAGCCTGGCCAACACGACAAAACCCTGTCTCTACAAAAAAAATACAAAAGTCAAATGGGTGTGATGGTGTGCGTCTGTAGTCCCAGCTACTCAGGAGGCTGCGGTGGGAGGATCACTTTAACCTGGGAAATTTCTGCAAGGGGCCAAGATCTCACTACTGTACTCCAGCCTCAATGACAGAGTGATACCCCATCTCAAAAAAAA